AACTGAGAGGTGAGGAAGAATATTAGACCGGAAACATTTCCTTCTAGCAAGGTGGTGATCTTCAGGATGACCTAGGAGACCTGGTGTCAACTCACCACAAATTTGATTGGAGCTAAGCAGCTAACACTCCTGAAAATCCCTGCCATCCTGCACATCAGCTCTCTCTTTAATAGCAGGGTAAAGCATTAGGAAGCAGACTGCAGCCCATTTGAAGTTCCCCTTCATTTTCTGAACCTCCCAAGATACAAAGGCTCATATCCCTAGCGTACATTCTCCGTGTTATTAGGATAACTGCTAGTCAAGTTCAAAAGGCAGCTGGCTTCCAAGTCACCAAGCCAGAAAGAGCTGTAATTTCTCTCACTGTAATTTCTCTCTATGATTATAACAGTGGTTGACTGAGTCAACACAGGCAATGTCAGCAAGCAATTTCACTCAAGGACAGCAGATAGCCAGGAAGAAGCACAGTCTTTGGGAGGGGGGGCTGAAATGTGTGTGGGAGCTGGCCTGGATAGATGCAGTTCTCAGTAGGACATTAAACAGGCTAGAGGATCAGACAGCCAATAAATATACACAGCTTAGCTTCATCCTTTCTGAAGGGTTAGGAGCGGAGAAAGGCAATCCTGCCTATACTGAAATCAGGGGGAGTTTTACCATTGATTTTGATGGGGATTTCACCCATCACAGTTAATAAGCAACCAAACCATCACAAGACTTGGAGAGACCACCCTGTTCTTAGCAGTGATGTCTTCCTTCTCTAATAGCTCCAGGGACTGTTTTATATCCTAGGGCATCAACCGATCTCAAGTTGGGACAATAGGAACTAAAAAACACCATCTTTAGCTCAACAAAACTGTGGCTCTATAGGCTCCACGGATGAGAAAGAGCCTCTTGTAAAGGGCAACTTCACACGGAGTCCTTTTCCAAAACTCCAGAAGGACTGTTCTCTTTCCATGGAATACAAGGGAGCTTAGGCAAGATACCCTGAATGAGCTGGAGCCTATCTAATACTCCTCTTTCCTCCAAAGTCTTCTGCAGATCATCGTGGAATCCTCCCTTCAACTTAATGCCCAAACACTGCATTCTGACATTTTAAAAGGGCGATAATCCAAGTTTTTTTACAGAGTAATGTTATCCTAAAACATGTACAGTGCTGTTCACCCTTGGCTGACATACCCACACTAATACTGTTTTAAGGTAGGGACAGAGAAAGTATCATGCAAATTGCCGTTTCAGAAAAACAATCAATCATATCACAATATGCCATTTCACCTCTCAGCTCTGCACAGCAAAACCAACTATATTTTTTCATACGTTAGCAAAGTCAGCTGGAGTCTTGCCTTTGGCACTGAAGAGGGTAGACAGAAGGATCATAACTGGAATTCCTGTTCGGATGGCCTCTGTGGAACGAGTAGCTAGAAAAAGAAATCAGCCCTAACTCCTGAGTGAAGCAACCTGGGAGAGGGCTCAGGAAAGCAAGGACTGGAGAGCCCTATGGGAACATAGGCGATGCACAGCAGAAAAGGGCTAATTCAGATCATCACTGCCAGCCATTCTCCCTCATTCCAGCTGACCAGTGCACAAGTTGGGAAGCACTGGATTGGAGCCACATCTGCTTCCCACCAGGGTAAATCTCCATTGGTTCCGCACAGAAAATGGGGCTACTCCATTTAATAGCAGTTGACAGTCGGATTCTCCTATCTCTGATGCTGTAGTAGTGAATTTACTTTAAAGGGGAACCGAAGTAAACGAGAACAGGGCTTGGAAACAATAGGTTACATTCTTGAATTCCTGTGTGCTTCCCTTGGATGTGTTTGCCGTGAGAATTAAAGGAACAATACTGAATTTGACCTGAGCTGAAAATGAAGTTCACTGAAACCAAACCAGACATACAGGGTGAATTCCTGGCACTGCTGAGGTCAATGACAAAACTCTCCGTTACTTTGCCGAAGCCACGCTTTCACCCACCGTTTTTATAACACCAACAATCAATAGAAACCTATCCAAGATTCTTGTTTTAATTTCACTGAAAAATGTACACAGAACAAGTATTCCCCTACAATGATTGTAAAGTAAACAGCCTTAAACTGCCCTCCTGCATGAAAATGTGAAACAATTGAAGCATGAAGCCGACTAACCTGTTTCCTTGCCCAAAACGAGGGCTATGTATAAAAGTGAAAAACAGATGGAGTAAAGGTATTTGTAAATAAATAATACAAAGTTTGCTTAAAGCACAAATGAAGAAAAGTGGGTGTTTTTTTCCACAAAGCTCACATCCATGAGGCTAGCTTTTCCAAAAAAAGCCTGAAGAACAGAGGCACACCGCTAGACACATTTCCATGAGAGGAGGATATTCTCTTTTGAAAAGTCCCAGGCATGGTATTTAAAATATACAATGACATAAACATTAGCATGTCATTTTCAGGCTGCAATTTTTTTGTGATATTATGAATCTAGTTCACTAAACGTTGTCCTATTTATCATAAAAGAAACAATGCTGCAATCAACCATGACTCCCACCTGCTTCGGGAAAAACCAAAGGCCACCCACCAAGAGCATGTTCACGAGGGCAGCTCTGCATGCTTCCTTGTGGAAAAACATTTTTGCAAATGGTATAATTTTGCTAAGAAGAGAACAGCTGAGCTGACACAGAGCAGAGTCTCCAAAGCTTTGAAGTCTAGTTGGATTATTTATCCCGCTTTCCACTGTTCAGCTCCAGTTGCTGATACCCACCCATCAGAAACATCTCTCCATCATCCTAAGCAGTCCAATTACTGTCCTTGCTGCTACATTTTAGAAAGATGTTTTTTGTTCAGAGGTGATTGTGTATTTTGGTATCCTAATCCAAGACGCTCAGGAAGGCAGTAAGGTCAAGTTTAGCCACCGGCCTCCTCTATATGGTTTGCCCATGGTCATAATCTACATTGTGCTAATTTTTCACAGCTGTAAAATAAGAAGTTATAAAATGGGGGATTCTCCTCCAATTTCCCTAACTCACAGATGTGTTACGAACACCATTAGTCTGACATTCAGATACTACAGTCATAAAGGCAATATACATCTACACATATACAGAAAGGTGCAAGCATTTCTGAAGTATGAGGCTCTGCACAGGTAAAAGTGGGCAACCAAAGTAAAGAGCTACTTTAGAAAAATTTGCCTAAGCAATTTCTGCTTAAAATGTTTTTAAAAGTGCCACTGGGGGAAATAATGCTGGTAAAAGCTCAGATGTAGACGACAGAGAATGTTATTTTGATCTAATTCAACTTAACAAGGAAGAACAAAATGGTAATTCAAGTGTGAACCAGGTGTACTAATAACAAGGGAACAACCAATGAAACAAAGTCAATGAACTGAAGCTGAAAAGAAAATACCATCTCAGTGTCATTAATTTAAATTGACAGCAAAGATTTGAAGAAAAACTGGATATTAGTATGCACAATGAGACCATCCACAGCTACACTCTCACTTACGTTCTCCGTATGTGTGAGGTTATCTTCATACACAAACTTCATACTCTAAAGTGATAACATTATGAAAAATAATTTCCCAGGTTATTTTATGGTTATTTATTTGAAGCATTAGACCAAGTTCATAGGCCAGATACAACCTATTTGCAAGGTCCGGACCCAGAAAAAGATTTGTTTCTGGAACACAGACAGCCTAGCTGTGTTTGGACCACTGGCTCCTACTGCCAACCTCCACGTCAATCAATCCAAGTCCGCCCACCAGGCCAGGGATCAAAGATTGCTCATAACCACCCTCTAAGAGATGAGGATGTTCTAGTCCATAAGGAGCTAGGTTTGAACTGAGGAGAGTTAGGCTGATCCCTGGCTGTGCCTAAGATCTCTTTATATCCCCGGATCGGACAATAGACACTAGTGCCCGCTCTGAACCATGCTCTTATTTCTCTGTACCTTAACTTCCCTCCTGTGAAATGGCAGCACTTCAGAGTACATGAAAGAATGCAAGATGCTCAGATATTGTATCACTTTACACCTTCATCCTTGATTCCCACATGCGGCAGACTCCAGGGCGCTGTGTTACAGTTTACACGTGATCAGCTGCACTGCAACAGAGGTTTTTATTTTTTTCTCTAGCTCAAACAAGGTTAACAACAATGACTCACTTATGGAGTTTTAAGGTCCTGGCTCTGACAAGCCAAACATCTGTAGCCAACACAAGCGAGGATGGATAGCCTGGAAGTCATTCATGAGGCATTTTAGAGCCAGTGTGGAACACCATGAGTGTCTAATCCTGGTGTGAGCAGAACAGACAGTCAGTCTGTCTTTTTATTCTGAGATATTTTCATTTCCCGATTTCTCTCTTCCTCCAAAAGAGGATATGAGCACAAAAGGAACAAAGCTAACAAAAATCCTGGTGCTAAAGCTGCGTACATAAGTGGGCATGTGCAAATCCTTAAATAAGTGGCTCAATTTTCAAAGATACATAGTACACTGGCATCAAGCTTCTAGGTGTGAACCATATGATGGACACCTATCCGTCCTCAGACAATCCTGTATGAAGTACCTCTCCTTCCTCTCTCTGTATGTGCGGCAACCGCTATTCCAGAAAGGCTGAACTCTTACGGAGTACAAGCCTCTTGGAGTCACAGACATCACGGAGAAAGGGAACCAAGGCACAGGGATGTGGAGAATCTGCTGCTCATACTGAAGCCAGAGGTCAAAGTGACACTGGTTTCATTAGGAGCAGACCCAAGAATCTGGCAAAGTCACACAAGCAGCAAGGTAAACCCTGCCAACAGAAAGGATGAGTGAAATGCCCGACAGCTGCAAGATGTGGAAATCCTGGGGTCTTGATTTTCCACGGCTTTTCCCACCCCTACACAAGCTTTTCTCAACAACCTAGACAGATATCAGAAACCCTCCACTGCTGATACCTGGTCCAAAGTATCACATGACTTATACAGCCCACAGTCTCTGTACTTATCTGAGAAAGAAAAAAGTAAAGCTTTCTTGGTAGAGAAAAAACAGCCAGCTTACTGATCATGGTGGTGCCCCCAGCCAGTGCAGCCTTGGTCCCTTGGAAGAAGTCATCAGCAGATGTCATCCCTTGTTCCGGCATCTGGAAGCGGGTGTGAACGTCAATCCCTCCAGGAATCACCATCCTGCCATGGGCTTCAATAGTTTTCACTCCCCCTGGCACAATCAGATTCTCTCCTATTTGCCTGGGTAAACACATTTCAAACAGCAAGTCAGACACAAACATCAGATGAGGCAAACAGCCTGTAAACATACACTCTTGTGCTACTTAACCTGTCTAGTGTTTTCTTTTTCCATATAAAGCAACGTACAGGATCAGCATGCATAGCTGATAATATTTTATGCCTCCCCTTGAAGCAGTTGCATAATTGCGAGCAAAGTGTGCAATTACTTCAGGACCTTGGGGCAATATTAGACTTAACAGGAAGGAAAAGAAGGAGCCACACTGGCAGACAGCTGGAGAAGGGACCATGCAGATAATCAGACGATCGCTGCACCAAACACAGCAAGAGCCTTGCGTGCAGCTTTATTGGGATGGGACTGGGGTTCAACGCTTGATTCTGGCTATCCAACAGCCATTTAGATGTTAGTACTGTTTTGGGAGCACTGGAAGAATTTTTGCCTCTATATTGTCTACTTTTCATGTATAAATATCATGTAGTCCCTGCACAAATATAAACCCATGCAGATACCGGTTACCAAATTCCTGATGAGACCCCCAAAGCCCTCTCCAGTCTAGTTCTTCACTGATGTATTTTTAAAAATGCAATAATGGATGACACACTGCGATTAACTAGCTGTCTTTGGCTGGCTCCTTTAACTTTCAACCTTGATTAACAAAGCACATGTGCTGACCGTTTAGCCAGAACAGGAAAATTCCTTGTTTGTAACCTCTGGCTCGTCCATTTTTCCCTAAGAGTAATTTTCCAAAGAAATCTGTAATATATTTAACGTGCCAGAAACACATGTTTCAGGACTGAAAACACAGAGGCATGCTGGAAAGAGGTCTGAACCTCAGTCCTTAAACTACAGGATCATTATTAACTTTAAGGGGGTTTAGATTGATCCTCGTATCATAGAATCATAGAAGACAGCGCTGCAAGAGACCTCAAGAGGTCACCTAAGTCCAGCCTCCTACCCTAAAACAGAATTAACTGTAGTAGGATGCTGAACTCCGGATTCAAAATATCTTAAGTCATAACTCAGTAAAATGTTACAACACAGATAACTTCAAACATATGTGTCATCTCAGCGTGGGGCTATTCACATGGCTAAAATTAAGCACATGTAAGTACCTCCTTTGACCCATGCTTTAATAACAGTGGGGTTTTGGCCCATTTGTTTATTTAATTCAACACCTTGTTTTTGAAGTTCCTCCATCAAACACCAGGATATACGTGAAATACTCATTTTTCATTGCAATTTATATAGCTCACTGAGACTAAGTGATTCCTTGCCAATCTGCAGTACATTTCTGTACGTTTCCAATCACAACATGGCATCAGGCTTCACTTACTTTATCAACCCATCTTCCATGTAAATGTCTGCATAAAAAGACTGGTCGTCATTAACTATTTTACCACCTTTGATCAAAAGACGATCACTCTGCAACAAAAAAGCATACAACAATACATAATTATTCTGTGAGAAAGCTGACAGTCTGCAGTGTCACTTCAGAGATAAAAGAGTAGAGACGGAAACAACCTCTGCATTATTCAAAAGTGCATGTCAAAACACAAGTCAATTGCTGCACTTTTAACTGGAAAGATAAAATATTTTATTTCATCTGCAAGTTCTTTCATCACACTAATGATCCAAAAAAATCAGAACAGGAAAGGAGTTGAGTTCCAGCAGGCTTGTCTACTTGGCAGCTTCACTCATACCTGCAGTCTGCCACCATCACCTACAGCAAAAGCATTAAATAATACTTTGAAGGATGTGTAATAGCAACATCCCTATTTTTTCTGCCTTGGTCATATGCAAAATTTCCTATATGCACCCACACACTGGAATCACGGCTAACTGTGAGTCAACTGCTGTCAGGGAAATGGACCAAAAGTCTGTTGCCACGGGTTACACAACACAAACAAACTCATTTTGTCCAACTTAGTGATGTTTCGATGCAGTGGATACTTCTACCGCCTTTCCAGAGCACCACTGCAACATCAGATGGAAATAAGCACATATTAGCAAACTAAGTCCAAGAGAAGGATTTAAAAAACAGTTAATAGAATTCCGTCCAATTAGAAGACAGTTTGGCAGGAACAGAAAGGTAATTATAACAAGGCAGCTATCAAGCGATGTGCTTTCATCGCAGCCCAGGTTACATCTCACTTTTGCGAGATTTTAGGTCAAAAACAAATTTATCTTTTTTTGCAGTAGTCATAAACAAGAATGAAACACACCCTACAGAGCTCTGGATGGGGAGGAAAGTTAAAAGTGACTGTGATGTTCCTCTGGTTCCTTCATTCCCTACATTACAGATGCATCTATTTAAAGCAAAGCACATACACGTTATGCAGCGTTCAGTTTAAACTACACCTTGGCTCTTATATCTGCACTTGTACTTACTCAGATTCTCTTTCCTCCTCCCAAAAACGCCTTTGTAAGAGAACAAAGCTATACCAGAACAGCATAGCCAGGCTGGTGAAGCCAAATGCTGAATTCAAGAAGGGGTAGAAAGCAGGACTGTAACTTGGTGGTGCCTTGAACTTATAGCAAATACATATAGGACAGCGACAGTGTTGCTCAGGGCCTTTATTTCAAGCTGGGACTCTGCTGGTCCACCAGAAGAATCAGGCATTTTCCCCAAAGAGCCTGTAATAAAACTGAAGAGTTGGAGCACCCGATTCTCAGCTGACACAAGCTGACATGGCTCTTTTAACGCCAAAAGGGCTACATGAATTGCATCAGCTACTGATTTATACCATTATATCCATCTTTTATATAACTGCTAAACGTCTATGAGATGCTAAGTGTCTCTCCTTCCCTCTCCTTTTTTTCTTTCTCCTTCCTCCTACTGCTGCAATGGAGAGTCTCCCTGAATAACACCACCAATTTAAAAAACAAAGAAAGAAAACCCCAAGATTTAAATTTAGGATCTGCTGTGAATGCCAATAAGCCTGAATGAATTAACTTGGGGCGTGAAAAACCCACTTGTCTTTCAATGCCAGCTTCTACAGCAAACTGTCCTACATGTTTACCATTTCCAGAAACACTGCAGTATTTATGCCCACCTCTAGTGCAGACTCCTTGTGCTATTAAAAAGGCCAGCTACTGTTGAAATCGGTTAGTTTGGCTGTTGATGTTACTCACAGCCCAAGTCCTAATGCACTGGGCATCAGTTAGGAAAGAAGAAAAAAAAAATACATATATAGCGACCAACAAAAATGCAGCCTGGACCATTTTAATGATGCTCTGAATGCTTCTGCTAGTAAACAGGTCTCCTGCTGCGGCTGAACGGTAGGCTCTGAAATCAGTGCGAATCCTTCTGCTCATTTCAAGCACCTTGGAGACAAAAGCACACGCAGTTTGCAACCCTGCAAGGGTCTGCCTCTAAATCTGTATATATTTATCCTACTGATGGACAGCTACACATTGATTATCCTTCTTCTTCAAGCATTAGTCTCAGTAGATCAGTTCCGGGTTTATACAACAGCAAGTAAGACCAGAATCTGATTTTTTTTATCTCTTATCTTTACAAGAGAATTGCATCGGGTGCACACAACATAAATCAGAGCATTCAATCGTAAGAAAAATGCGTCATACTACTCTTGGCCCGTGACAGCAATTCAGCAGTAACCTTCACCGTTATTTAAACACAGGCATCTTTTTAAACTCTCTACCATTGGACTTTTGGAGGGAAACTATTCCCCCCACAAAAACCAAAAAAAAAAAACCAAAAGAGGATGCTCATTTATCACATACCAGTTTTGTGCATCCCCTGCATTTCCTAAACGTCATTTAAAACATAACTGTACAGCCCAGCGGCTCCCGCACAAATGTCACACTTCAAAGCTCCGTTTCAGAGCTCACTTCTCTGCCTCCGAGGCTGAGGAAGGAGGACTAGGATGGGTGTGTCCGTGGGGCTGGGAGAAGGAGCCGCTGCGCCGCTGCCAATAATGAACAACTCTGTGTCAAAAAAATAAATGGCTGTAACAGTCCGTTAGATGCGAATATCTGGCCTTACGTAAGGAAAAGTTAGGATCCTTGGAGCTGCAATACCTGCCCTAAATCGGCTCCCACGATAACGACATCAAGGGAGGGGTTTATATAACGGCTCCTGCCCTTTTCCCCCAGGATTGCATCGAGGAGTGGACTCAAACGTGCGCGTTGCCAGAAGCTTCTTGGGGAAGAAAAGGAAATCCCGCTCCATCCCCAGCGCCAGCCCTCCGGGGCAGGGGGATTCGGTCGG